TCATCTTTACAATAAAATTAAAAAATCAGCCAGGCGTGGTAGTGCATGCCTGTAATTCCGGCTACTCGGAAGGCTGAGGCGGAAGGATCGCCGGAGCTCAGCAGGCCGAGGCTGCGGTGGCCGGGAGCGGCCACTGCACTCCAGTCTGGGTGACAGAGTGAGACTCCAACTCAAAAAAAAAAAAAAAAATTTTCTCTTTGTGTTGATTTCCTTCTTTTGATACAAAAACAGGGAGGTGTCTAAAGTGAGGGGATTTACCCACATCTTCTGCTTTACAAATAGTGGGAATAGAAACAAATCCACTTTAAAGTGATGACCCCAGAAGGCTGCAGCATCTAGTCCTCTGTTCACCAGTTTCAGGAAAGTGTCATATCCCCAGAATATATAATCATGCTCCAAATTGAAGGCGGAGAATGATAAGGGTCATATTTTCTTCTTGGCCTGCAGGTTAACTTTCAAACTATGCCACATGTACTGGAATTGGCCTGGCACCATCAGAGTTCCAGCTCCTTGCAAGTATGCCCACAAGCTAGCTTTCCTGTCAGGACAGGTCTTGCATCACGAACCAGCCATCCAGCTGTGTGAGAACTTGTTCTTCCTGTGACTGCACAGCCTGGATAGAGACTGGTTAGGAGAAACTCAGCTTCTCAGCTCAGCTGTGACCCCTGTAGAATCAACAGCGATTGAAGTGGGCTTTTGTGTTGACGTTTTCCCTTTCTCCAACCCTGTGGAATAAGATTTCTCCTGTTCTTTTTTTTCTTTTAAACCTGATACCACCAATAAGTAAGTTTCAGCTGGAAATTGCCTCGTTGCCTTTGTAGAGCAAATGGCAGTAGTACTGCTACGGTGCAGATGGAGTGCATCTGGGAGAACCAACCTGAGGTGTAGCAACCTGCAGAAGCTGCAATTACACCCATAGCCTGTGCTTACTAAGCAGTTCCCATTTCTGGTGCCAGTTGTGATCATGAATGATGTCATCACAAGTTTCTCAAAATAAAGCTCCTTTATTTGGGTAGCTGGGAAAGGCAATGGAATGCCTGTGAAGCAAAGGTTTTCACATAGATATTGCTGTTGCTGGCAGGTGTGTAAGCCGTGTAGTAAAAGCAGCGTATGGCATAGTCAGGCCCTTGCTGACTTCGTCTCTAGGGATTAAGTTTATGATGCTTGTAACTTGAGTTGGATTTGAAAGTGACTTTCAGTTATTCCTTGGCTTCTTGAGAGAGTCCAGATGACTTTTTCCCATAGTTCTCAGTTCCTTTATAGCATGCCGTGTCAATTTCTCCCTCTTTCCCAAATATATACATGTGCACACACACCTATGTTCTTTAGTAATTTTTAGTTTTTTAAATAATCAGAACATGTGGAATACAATTCAACAGCTAGGAAAGTTTGGGTTGGGGAGTGAGTTTTTAATTGAACTTTTCTCCCAGGTGGTGTGTGGCCTTCGTTTCTGTTTTAAAATGTTTGAAAGTGGGATTACCCCCCTCTCTTGCATAATAACCTCTTCCTGGCTGTTGGCTCACTTTGCTAGGAATTTTTCTGAATCTAAGTTAAGGTTTCTAAAAGTTGGTTTAGAAAACGTGACACTCCTACCAAAGTCCAGACGAGTTTAGAAGTTGTTACCATACTTATGGGTTTTGGTGTTTGGGGAAAGTACTGGTTTTTTTTCTTTTTCTATGGAATTTTTTCTTCACTCCTTCTGTTTTAAAATCTTCTCCCAGTTCCTGCAGGCTTAATTCTGGCTTTTCTTGCTTTACTGAGTTATAAAAGCGAGTCTCACTTAACCTTTTTCGAATTTGTATTTATTTATTTATTTTCTTTTCAGTGTGCTGGCAGGGAAGGGACAAATGGGAAATACCCATTTTATATGACTGTGTGTGAGAAGAGAAACTTTAGCTGAAAACTCCTTAAAATATGCTGGCTTTGGCAGCACATGTGCTAAAATTGGAACAAAACAGAGAACATTAGAATTTTTTAAAAACGAAACAGTCTCTTTAAAAGAAGAAAAGCAAGAAAGTTGTTAGTTACTGTGGTGCTCAGCAGAGGTTGAGGAGGAAAGAGTATGTTGGAGCATCTCTGGTTTCTTCTGGAGTGTGGAACATGGGCCAGGTGGAGACCGGCCATTTTGAAGTCACAGATTCAAACACAGTGAACCACTGGTCTCTAGCTTAACAGACCAGTTTTCTGATTTTCTTTGGAAGCATTTTGAATTTCTCTGTTGAAGTTGGATTTCCTAATAGTTCTTTTCTCTTAGATAACCAGAACAGACAGATACTTGAATGCATAATACAAACATTTCTTCACTTTTATTTTTGGGTTTCTTGCCTTGTCAGTTTTAATGCCAAATGATTGGATCATGGGGTGGGAAATAAAACCAACTTTGTGTAGTTTTGTTTGAAACAGTGTCATTTATTACATAAACATTCTTTTCTTTCAGAGAGCTGCAGCACTTCTAGACTTACTCATTTATTACTGCATGCAAGGTGCAGCTCTGGTATTAGTCGCCAGGTAACTTCACCATGAACTGGGGAGAAAGACTTATTGGAAAAGACACTAGCAGTTTCTTTTTTGGGACAAATGAGGCACTTATATTTGTGTGTGTGTTGTTTTGTTTTTTAGATCTCTCTTCACCTCCGACAATTTCTCTTAGCCTAAGTGAGAGCCAGGGAGAGTCCACTTCCAAGGGTATCCTCCCTCCCATCCCACTCTTTAATGCTTGCCCTTCCTTATGTACCCTTTATGATATGTTTGTTATCATTAAGATACCTTTCCTGGGAACAAAAATACATTTAGAAGGAATACGTTCTAGTGTTTAGTAGCACAACATGGCAACTATAGTTAACCATAATTTATTGCACACTTCAAAATAAATAGAGCAGTGGAATTGGAATGTTCCTGACACAAATAATAAATGTCTGAAGTGATAGATGTTCCATTGATCCTGATTTGATCATTATACATTGTATGTTTGTATCACAATACCACATGTAACTCATAAATAAGTAAACTGTTATATATCCATCAAAATTAAAAATAGGCCAGGCACAGTGGCTCATGCCTATAATCCCAGCACTTTGAGAGACTGAGGCAGAAGGATTGCTAGAGCCTAGGAGTTCAAAATCAGCCCAGGCAACATAGAGGCTGAAGTGGAAGCATAGCCTGAGCCCAGGAGATCGAGGCTACAATGAGCTGTGATGGTGCCTCTGCCTTCCAGTTTGGATGACAGAATGAGACCTTGACTCAAAAAAAAAAATTAAAAATTAAGTTTTCTAAGAAAAATACCTTCCATAAATGTACTACTATGGCTTCCAGCAGGGTCACGGCAAGGGCTACTGGCTCAGCAAATGAAGTTCCTGAAATTCCAGACAACATGGGAGATTGGCTTCAGGGCATCTACTGCTTTGCTACCTATTGGAATAATTTCCAGAGGAACTTGATCCTCACTTTGGGACACTTTACTGCCGGAATTTGGCTGGCCAGGAACTTGAGTGACACTGACCTCGTGGCACCTCTGCCAGGGACATAGCCAAGTAGACAAATGGAATCCTGTACTGTACCTGAACCTTCCAAAAACAGCTTACATTCTGCGACCAGCAAAAGACATGCCCTGATGGCAGCTGAAATTTGATCCAGATGGGCACTTACCCTTGCCAAGTCTCCTTTTGTTTCTTGAGTCCACTTAGAACTCCATTCTCAGCCAGGCTCGGTGGCTCAGCCTGTAATCCCGCGCCTTTGGAAGGCTGAGGTGAGTGGATTACCTGAGCCCGCGGGTTCGAGACCCGCCTGGGCAGCAAGACCTCATCTCTACAATAAATCAAAAAATCAGCCGGGCGTGGTAGC